CTCCTCCTCCTCCTCCTCCTCCTCCTCCTCCTCCTCCTCCTCCTCCTCCCCCTCCTCCTCGCAAGGCAAAATTGGCACGGTTACGCATCATTGCTCGGACACTCGGTAGATCCGAAACCGACATTGTGTTCGGGGGGAGGGGGGAGTTCAAACCATATGTTGCGCGCGAGTGTTGCTCAATTGGGTCCGCCACCTGGAGCGCGGCTCGGCCCTTGCTCTGACCCCTCGGGCTGCGTCGTGTTCCTCCTCGCTGGGGGCTCGGCCGCCTCGGTGGATGAATGGCTCGGTGAGTGAGCAGGTCAGGGGCAGCGACAAAGAGGGGAGGCGGCATAGGCTCAGGGGGGGGGGACGCATCGACGCCCAATCGCCCAATCGCCCATCGTTTCTGACACCTTCGCCCCCACGCCCTGGGCAGAACCAGCCCAAGAATGGGCCGCCCAGCGGCCGCCCGGCTTGAGCCTGCACGGATGCGCGGCAGTGCGGCACCCTCACCAACCTCGAGGACCTGAGCACCTGCTGCAGGTGCGGGCGGGGCCGCGATGGCCGCACGGTGGACGGCGTTGCTCGCTCTTCGGGCCTGCGCCCGCCTTCTCGGCCTCCCTCCCGCGGCGGTGTCTGCCAGCAGCAGGCCGAGATCGACCCCGACGCCGCGGCCGAGTGCAGGAATGCCCTCGATTCCCTGCAGCGTTTCGACCACGACGACTCCCACCCCACGGTCCAGATGGCCAAACCTCGCATGGGCCGAGGCGTAGGCCCGCGCGGGCCGCAAGGCTGAGGACGTGCCCTGGTCGACGCTGGACCGCCTCAGTGGCAAGAAGGACGAGCTCGGCAAGCTGGAGAGGTCCGTGGCCAACATGGGCGCGAAGCTGGTGGGCCAGCGCCAACTCCGTGACGAGGCCGCCGCGGGGGCTCGGCAGCTGGAGGCCGAGGTGGCCGCCGCGCGGGCCGCACTGGCGTCGGCTCCCTCAGTCGACCTTACGGTCATGGTCGCGCAGCTTCAGTCGCTCTGGCCAGGTGGCCAGGCGGCCAGCAGCCAGAGGGCCCATCTGGTCCAGCTCTTCCAGACCCACGTCGAGGGCATCGTTGGCACCGTCACCGCGCAGGCCACCATGGTGCCGCCCGCCGCGCCGCCTGCAGCAGCGGCAGCCTCGGAGGCCCTTCCATGGGGACTTGCACAGGGATTCCCAAGATGGTCTGCCAAAGGAGGAATGCCGCCAACAATATCTCTGAGGAAATGACGACGGAAGCCAAGCACGCGAAGCGGCGGCGGCCCCCAGACCGCCACTTGAGAACCTCAGGTTCTCACCACCCAGGGGCGGGGAGTTGCATTTTTCGCCGCACAGGCGGCGCCATCGGGGTTTGTCCTTGGTTTTTCGAGTCCAGCTCTTTTGGCCTCAAGCCCTCGGCAGTGAGCTGACCGTGAAGGGTGGGGTTGGCATCATCCTGGGTCTCTGGCTCTAGTGCCCTCGGTTGCTGTCGTTCGATTGACACTTGTGCCTCTCGCATTTTCCGCCCTCCCGATTCTGTCCCTGACCCGTACTCGGCGCGTTCTTTCATCTCGTGTGGTCATCCTCCGCCTTCTCCTCCTCATTCTCCTTCTCCTTCTCCTCCTCCTCCTCCTCCTCCTCCTCCAAATCATAACCATCGCCATCCTAATCACCATCACCATCACCATCCTCATCATAATCATCATCACCACCACCATCACCATAATCATCATCATCATCACCATAATCATCATCATCACCACCATCAGCATCATCATCATCAACAACAACAGCAACAGCAACAGCAACAGCATCATCATCACCATCGTCGTCATCATCATCATCATCAGATCATCATCAGCATCATTATCAGTATCATCATAATCATCATCAGTATCATCACCACCATCGCAATCATCATCATCGTCGTCACCACCATCATCATCATCATTATCATCATCGTCATCACCATTATCATCATCACCAACATCATTATCATCATTATCATCATCAGCAGCATCATCAGCAGCATCAGCATCAGCATCGTCGCCACCATCGTCATCGTCATCGTCATCGTCATCGTCATCGTCATCGTCATCGTCATCGTCATCGTCATCGTCATCGTCATCATCATCATCATCATCATCATCATCATCATTATCAGCATCATGACCATCACCATCCTTCAACATCACCATCAACATCACCGCAACATCAAAATCACCATCACCATCACAATCACCATCATCAACATCATCATCACCATCAGTATCATCATCATCATCAGCAGCAGCAGCATCATAATCATCACTATTAGCATTATTATCATTATCATCATCAACATCATCATCCGAATCATCAGAATCAACATCACCACCACCATCCTTATCCTGATCCGGATCCTCCTCCTCCTCATCCTCCCTCATCCTCCGCCATCCTCCCTCATCTTCATCTCGTCAATCTTCATCGTTCTCCTGCCTCCTCTGTTCCTCCCTACTGTGTCCGCCAGAGCAGCAGCAGAAACAACATGAACAAGATCTCTGCGATCCCTGCGCCATTGTACCCTCTAAGCTCGCGCGTAGCACCGCACGCAGCACTGACACGAACGGCGATTCCACGGTGACGGCAACATCGCAGATGCTCCCACACACCCAACAAACGGTGGTAGAGGACGTGCAAAAGTGCATGCGAGTGTCTCGGCACTGGTGCAGAAAACTCGTGCAGCCGCAGGTGACAGCAACGACGTGTCTCCCGGGACGGGTGAAGCGCGCAAATACCAAGTACCCGCATACTGCAATCGAAAAGATCACGTTCGGCAGTGCAGTTCCACACTGCCTGCGCCTCGCTCCGAGGACCCCATCAAATCATGACGCGGCGACTCTAGCTGGAGCCTGCCCCGAGCAAGCCCGCGTCTTTCCATCGGGCAGGGCGGGGTGCGATGTGCCCACCTCGGGACTTCTGGGCGGCCTTGGGCGTGCCATGCACGCCAGAGAGCATCCGCCATGCGGGATGCAAGAAACACGCCCCTCGCGACTCTCTCGAGCAGCCTGCGGCCGACGTCGGAGAGGAGCCACGGTGCTCTTGCTGCAGGTGGCGCCCTGTGACGGAGCTGGTCGCGCCGACATACTAGGATGGGCAGCAATAGGCAGGATGAGGGAACAAAGAATGGAGGCACAGTCTGTCTTCGGGAGAACCCCTTCGACGGCGCCTCCATAGCTCGCGGAGACTGGTCGCGTGGTAGCAGCAGGAAGAAAGAGAACAAAGAGATGGCGGAGCCTGTCGCCGGGAGGCCCCGTCGACGGCGCCTCCCCATACTCCCGGCGAGGGGCTGCGCAAACCTGGGGCATCATACAGGCCTCCCGTGCTCGACTCCCGGCGCGCTGGCAGGGCGCACTTGTTCATCCGCGCGGCCTGTGCGGCGCGCCGCGTCTGGCTAGGGCGTGACTGTCGCTGTGGGCGCGATAGGCCCTGGACCGCTCATGCTGCCAGGCGCCGAGAGCCCGACCGGACCAAGCAAGCACAGTCCAGCTGGCTGATTGGTCAAGTGGCATGATTCTCGCCTCGCTTCGGGTGCGAGAGGTCCTGGGTTCAGTTCCTGAGTGCGGCGCAGGCCCGTGCGCGAGCGCGCGCCGGAGAGACAGCGTCGTCGTCGTCGTCGTCGCCGCCGCCGTCGCCGCCGCCGCCGCCGCCGCCGCCGCCGTCGTCGTCGCCGTCGTCGTCGTCGTCGTCGTCGTCGTCGTCGTCGTCGTCGTTGTCGTCGTCGTCGTCGTCGTCGTCGTCCTCGTCGTTGTCGTCGTCGTCGTCGTCGTCGTCGTCGTCGTCGTCGTCGTCGTCGTCCCATTCAGGGTCGGCGGCGCTAGCCGTAAGGCCTTCGCAACGTGCTCGCGTGGGCGCAGGCGCGCGCCCGAAAGAGAACCCGCCGCGCGTGCGCCGCGGCGGGCGCGCCTCCTGCGCCGCTCGGCCTGCGCAGCCTTGGGGGAGGGGGCGGGGCGCGGCGCCCCTGGCTCCGCTACCCGCTCCCCTCCCTCCCACTCCCCTCCCTCCTCCGCTCCCCGCCCTCCTCCTCCCTCCTCCTCCCTCGTCCTCCTCCCCTCCTCCTCCTCCCTCCCCTCCCCTCCCTCCCTCCTCCGCTGCCCACTCTCCTCCCTCCCTCCCTGCTGCCCCGCTCCCTTCTCCGTTTCCTGTGGGGCGGGCGCTGGAGGGGCAAGGGAGGGCGGTGCGGAGGGGTTGAGAGGGTGCGTGTGAGTGCGTGGGGGTTCACCACTTGTGTGGAAGGGGATCGTACACGCGTGGTGTACGGTTTGGGTCCAACCCCCACCCCTGGGCCCCACGGGTCCCGCTACGCTGCCGCCGGGGCCCGACGGAAACGGGAAAACAACAGTTGTTCAGAGGGACTCCGCGCTCAAGAAGCTTGAGAAGGAGGCGGGAAAGAGGCGTGGGAATTGGGAGGAGGAGGAGGAGGAGGAGGAGGAGAAAGAGGAGGAGGAGGAGGAGGAGGAGGAGAAAGAGGATGATGATGATGATGATGATGATGATGATGATGATGATTGATGATGATGATGATGATGATGATGATGATAATGATGTGATGATGATGAAGATGATGATGATGATGAAGATGTGATGGAAGTGATGAGATGATGATGATGACGATGATCTGGTGATGCTGATGATGATGATGCTGATGATGCTGATGACCGATGATGATGATGAGATGATGATGATGATGATGAGAAATTTTGGGATTTTTTTTTGGGGGGGGATGGATGATGATGATGATGAGATGATGATGTGATGATGATGAGATGAGGAGGGGAGGAGGAGGAGGAGGAGAAGGCGGAGGAGGAGGAGGAAGAGGAAGGGAGGAGGAGGAAGAAGAGGAGAGAAAGCAGAGAGGTAGAGGAGGAGGAGGAGGAGGGAGGAGGGAGAGAGGAGGAGGAGAGGAGAAAGCGTAGGAGGAGAAGGAGGAAGGAGGAGGAGGAGGAGGAGGAGAGGAGGAAGGAGGAGGAAGAGGAGGAGGAGGAGGAGGAGGAGGAGGAGGAGGAGAGCGAGGATGGGAGAGGAGGAGGCGGAGAGGAGGAGGGGGAGGAGGAGGAGGAGGAGGTGGGAGGAGGAGGAGGAGGAGGAGAGAGGAGGAGGAGGAGGAGGAGGAGGAGGAGGAGAGCAGGAGAGGAGGAGGAGGGAGGAGGAGGCGGAGGAGGAGGAAGGAGCGAGGAGTGAGGAGGAGGAGAGCAGGGAGGGGAGGAGGAGGAGAGGAGAAGGAGGCGGAGGAGGAGGAGGAGAAAGAGGAGGAGGGAGGGAGGAGGAGGAGGAGGAGGAGGAGGAGGAGGAGGAACAGCAGGAGGAGGAGGAAGAACAGGAGGAGGAGCGACGGTAGCTCTCGGAAGAGCCCCGAGCGCGCGGCAGCAAGATCAGTCGTTGAGGCGGACCTGGGCGGCCCGGAGCAATTGCCGGTGGTCGTCGTAGTGGTTCGTAGAGGTACATGTAATACAGCAGCACGAGGCGTCTGCATGTGGCGCTTAGGGAGCTCTTCCCGTCGCGAGAACCCCTACCGAGATCAATGCGGTGCAGCGGGTCTGGGTGTAGGAAGCTCCGTGGCAAGGCCACCCAATGCCAGGCGTGGCGACAGGAAATGTAATGAGAAATGTCGTCCCTGCACTCCAGGAGCAGGAGGAGGAGGAGGAGGAGGAAGGAGGAAGAGGAGGAGGAGGAGGAGAATAAGAACAATAACGAGCACGAGAAGAACGACAAGCTAGGCGCGCTCGCGCCATATGTGACATCCTACCCCTCTCACCCATCCCTTCCCATCGCGCTGTTCTTACCGATCCGCCGACCAATGCCGACCTGGGTCTGCTCAAGCGACGCCACCGTGCGATGCGATGTCAAAAACGGGAGCTGTACAGAGGATAAGGAGGAGGAGTTTTTTTTGCTGCCGAGGCGATCTGGCAGCAGGGACATGTAATATCAGGGGGTGAAGGAAGGGAAGGGGAGGTTTGGGCCATAAAGGGCTTCATCACAATCCACTCCACGATGTTGACCCCGGATATGTGATGACGGCCTCGCGCTCTCGAAAAGTAGAACAAACGCCAAAGTTGACGCCTCACTCGCATAGGCGCCCAGTCTGC